AAAAGATCACTTAGTAGAAATTTTTGTGGCATAGTAAAAAAAAAAAAAAAAAAAGAACTTTTATGGCTTTAAGAGCCAAATTTCAAAATAAGATCTTGAATAAATAACCTAACGAGGCACCTCAAAGCAGGTCTTCAGCCTGTGTAACCATAACAGAGATGCTAGAGAATGGGCCTCCTACAGTTCTTAGCTTTCTTACTGGTGCCATAGAGGAAAATTACCTAAGGAAATGTCTGAAATTTCACCTCAGAAAAGCTTTTTGATGCCTCAAAATCCAAAACACTGGTGCTAAACAATAAGCCTAACCCAAAATGAGTAGGCAGAGAGAAATATAATGAAGGTGAAGATGTAAATCGGTGAAATAGACTTAAAAAGCAACAGAAAGACTCACTAAAGCAATAAAGTGGTTCTGTAAATGGTAAGCAAGATTGACACATCTTTAGTCAAACTAGCCAAGAAGAAAGGAGAAACCAGAATTAATGAAATTATTGATAGCGCTGAAATTATAAAGTAATGTTTTAAAAATGTACAGTCCAACAAGTTAGAAAATCTGCAATAAACAGATAAATTTCTAGACACATATGACATAGCACCATTGAACAAAGAGGATTTAAACAACCTCTGCTCATGGATCAATGAAATTAGTATTATGAAAATTGCCACATTATTGAAAGCCATGCACTGTAGCTGAAGTTTTCCTGGTCCTGCCTGGCCCACAGTCAGGACAAATCTCTCTCACAGTCTCTCAGACCCAACCAAGTAAACACACAGAGACTTACATTACTTATAAACTGTATGGCCATGGAAGGCTTCTTGCTAACTGTTCTTATATCTTAAATTAACCCATTTCTATTAATCTATAAGTTGCCACGTGGCTCGTGGCTTACCAGTATCTTCACATCTGTTTCTCATCATGGCGGCTGGCAGTGTCTCTCTCCTCAGCCTTCCACAGACGTTCAATTCACACCATTGAAGTAAAATAAAGGGCCCAGAAATGAACCAATTAACCTTAGTTGGAGTTTCTATTGCTGTGATAAACACCACAGTCAAAAGCAACTTGCAGAGGAAAGGGTTTATTTCATCTTACAGCTTGTAGTTCAGCATCCAGGGAAGCCAGGGCAGGTACTCAAAGCAAGAAAGCACCTACAGGCAGGAGCTGATGCAGTAACCATGGAGGCATGCTACTTACTAGCTTTATCCTCATGGCTTGTTTAGCCTGCTTTCTTACAGACCCCAGAGCCAGCAGCCCAGAATGTCACAACCCATTGTTAGCTGCCTCCCCTGCCCAATCTATCACCAATTAAGAATATGCACCACAGACTTTTCCACAGCCTAATCTGGTGGCAGCGTTTTCTCAACTGAGATTCCTTCTACCTAAATGACTCTAGCTTATGTCAAGTTCACATAAAACTACGCAGCACAGACAGAGTGTACTGGGGAAGTGAAATGGAATCAGTGTAAAGGACAAAGACGGTCAAAAGATGGTAATGTGGGAATGAATGTAATTAAATTGTATGATGTGCATATATGAAAATATAATAAAACATCATTTTATACAAGTTGTATACACTCATTAAAAACAATGGTTAATCATGAAAATTTATCTGTTTATAGCAAATTGACAAACGTGTTACCATGTGCTAGAGATAGTATAACTATTATTCCAAATAGTCTTAAATCATTGTTTTAGTTTTATTGTTTGAGAATGCTATGTGCATAAATGATGCATTTAATCAAATCTAACCCCCACTCCTTCCCCTCCCATTTCTCTCTTACTCCATGACTACTTTTTCGTCCCAAACTCATATTCTCTTTTCCTAACTCCACTAAGTCTACTTGGTTCTGCCTGCATGTGCATGGACATCAGTCTACTAGAACATGGATATTCTCTCAGGACCCACATCCTTGAAGGAAAAAGAAAACTGACTCTCTCTCTCCCAGAAGCCATCAATTGCCAGTAGCTCCTCACCGACTCCATAGCTGTAACTCATGCTTGGTACCATTAACCAGGCCAGAACCAATCACTAGGTCTCAGGCCCCATGAGAGAACCTTACACTATTACTCAACTAAGTAGACATAATATTAAACTTGCCCCAAGCACTTATCTCCATACCAATAGATTAGCACATCACTTAAATCCTCATTGGAGAACTTTTTACACTTGAAATTAATTTTTGTCTATTAAGTTTTGCTAGTATATTGTTTTTCATATTGCTCTACAGGGATTTTCTGGTCATATTTGTCAATATTTAGTGTAAGTTTAATTAAAAATTTCTTAATCCTTTGACTTGCTAAATGCAGCTACATGGGAAAACCCTGAAAGTGAACCGACAAATGAGAGTGCAGGGGCACCTGCCTTGGACCACTTCCTGGTTCTCAGATGCCCCACCTCCAATTCATGTGGTGGTCCTTCCACTTAAGGAGCAAATAAGGCCAACCACTGTCAATCAATCGTCCTATAGCAAACATTTTAACTTTCTTTTATTTGTATTTTTTGTAATTTCACTAAGTGTGTTTAGATCATATCTATCCTCTGCTTTCAGGACCCTCTCCTCCCAGGGCTCCTTTTATGTTTCCCTCTTAACTCCATGTATTCTTCTTCATTTTATTATCCACTGGGTCCAATCAGTGCTTCCCTTATTGGCATGTTTGTAGGGTGCCATTTACTAAGCATGGGCAACCTACCTTGGGCCACACAGCTGAAGAAAAGCACTCTCCCTCTCCCAGTGACGGCCAACTGCCTATGGCTTCTAAGCCAAGGGTGAGAGCCAATGATCTCCTTGCCACTCCATGCTAGAGTGCTGACTGGCTTGACTTTCAGAATGTCTTGTTCTTTCATCCACGGCTGTTGTGAGTTCATGAGTGCTGACCATAGCCTCCACCAGAAACTGGCCATACTGGCACTCTGATATGCCAATTTCCATCACTCTGAGAATATTTCTTTAGATTATATACCATCTAATCTGTGTCACTTTCCTATAATAACTCAAACAGATTCAAACAATAATATTTCTTCACATGAATGTACAATATAATCAATTCCTTTGTGATAGAGCTTGAGGTTTTGTCTGGCCTTTTGCTATTGTAAATAATGTTCTAACAATTAACTTTTAGACCTGTCATTTAATGTTTTGCCAGTGTGTCTCTGAAAAAAATGTCGAAGAGAAATTGCTAAACCAAAGGGTAAACACATCTGTAATTTTAAAAATGTGGATGAATTCTAGGGTTCATAGAATTATTCCATGTGTTTTAAGTTTCAGAATCAAGTATGGATATATCATTTTCATTTACTTTTTACTTCTAGAAAATTGTTTTGGATGTACAAATTAAATACAATGTCTGACATATTATGTAGCAATTCATGGATCAAGTTCCTCTCTGAATTCACCATTACTAAACCTCTTGTCTTTTCAAAGGATGTCATGTTCCTTGTCTTGGTTACCTTTCTTTTGCTGTGACAAAACACTATGACCAAGGCAACTTATAAAAGAAAGCATTTAATTTGAGATCTCAAAGTTCCTCAGAGTTAGAGTCCACGACTTTTGTGGATGGGAGCACGGCAATAGACAGACTGGCATGGTGCTGGAGCAGTAGCTGAGAGCTTACAACTGATCCAGAAACATGAGGCAGAGAGAGCTAACTAGAAATGGCATAGACTTTGGAAACCTCAAAACTTACCCTCAATGACAGACAAAGCTATCCAACCTCCAACAAAACGACACCTCCTAATCTTTCCCACACAGTTCTTCACTATGGGGACCAAGCATTTCAATATATGAGTGTATGGGGGCCATTCTCACTCTGACCACCATGTTCCCTCAAATGAATAGACTGCCCAGGAAAAAACACTCCAGACATCACCTTTTCGGTGGGGAGAAAATGGAATCAAGGAGATTGAAGTCAGATGCCTGTCACCTATTGAGTTTGCTAAGGCTGAAGCAGGCAGCCTTGCTTTGTTTAACCACACTCAGGATGGAATTGCTATTCCCTGGAAGCACCATGCCATGGCCACTGTCACAAAAGGCACTAGGTTAGAATGAGGTGGCAGCAGAAAGAGACTATATTTGAAGGGGCCATTTTCTGCTGTATCCAGTAATGCTGATTTGTGCCTTGTGGAGGTATGTTTATTTTTCATGAGGGCATGTGCCAAAGTTCTCAATGCATAGAGTCAACCAAAAGTAATCATCACCCTACCACCATCCAATGCCTTCATCTTCAGAAACTTTTCCCTTCTACAAAACTAGAAGCAACAACTTCTATTGATATTGGTCAGCTTAGTCTGTGGGGATTGAATTTGCAAACACACACACCCATCAATCAATTATTAACAGATCAATTAACATACCCCTGTAACCATTGCTGGTAGAGAGAACTTCCCAGAGGTATGGATTGGAGACTGGAGGATTGAAATAAGAGGCAGAAATGAGACAAAGGATGCCTAGCAAGAGAAAGGGAGTTAAGAAGGAGCTTTGGGCTGTGTGGGAGACCCTGTCTGAAATGACTTAAATTAGTGAGTCTTTTTCATAGAGTAAAACACCAACAATCAATTTAACTAACTTCTGGATTGTTAGTTAGTTCAATGGACTTTGCCTATGAGAGCCACCAACTCCTCAGAGGGGTGACACCCTGGGAATCACAAGCCAAAGACCACCTAGAAGGTTTCTGTCCCCAGGATAGTCTGTAGAATGCTTTGAAACTTTTGTAAGGGTAGATAACAAGATATGATGTTATGTCATCTACTATAATTTTCCACACACAGAAAATCTTGATACATTGTTCTACAAAAGTTTTCCCTATGTATGTTTCATTTTTAGAGCTTTTTTAGGGAAAAAAGGAGGAAATTTGAGTGGGGAGAAAAAATAAAAGAAGAAAACCAGCGATGTGTTAATGTTACATTCATTTTTGCTCTAGAAAAGAGGGTAATTTCTTCTCAAAATTATTTCATCTGGCTCTAACACTACTGGAACAAAAATCAATCAGACAGATTTCAAAATCAAAATATTGAATAATAATATTTTATTGGAAAAAATAATACAGTATGGCTAAAAAAAGCTACATTTGCTATGTTTCTTAGGGACAGAGGTTAAATACATATCCATTCATAACAATATTTCACAACATAAAGGGTCACCTTTCTACCAACACAGCACTACAAAATGAATTATAACCATCCAAATTAATGCTTAAAATTTCTGAAATGATACATTGAATTTTAGGATTATATAAATACTTGAAAGATTAACATATTTTTTAAAAAACACACTCTTCATATATGTATGCACCATCTTTATTTAATTCATATTATGTTACCAAAATCCACCGTAAACATTAACAAACCACAAATGCTGTAATAATTAGCCAGGAACAAAATGAGCCCAGTGTTTGGTTCCCTTCAGAACTAATAGGTTGCCAGAACATTCAGAGAGAAAGTGGTTATCTAAAAGAACTCCAGAAACACTTTAGGCTTTCAAATTTTGCGCTTTCATTTGCTGATTGTTTTAGAGTGAATTAGTTGACTGACTTAGCTGAGTATTATTATTTTGTTTAATGGAATCCTAGGGCAGGAAAGAAAGTTTCTGGGCACTAGATCTGGAGAGAGTGTGTCCATGTTAGGTTTCTTGTATTTTTGAGCTTTGTGTATGATTTAGATCATTGAAGAGGTCTCCGTGCTTTAACAAATTTGAAAATAACCTCAGGAGAATTTATTTGACACTTTAAGATAACTTATGAAATCTACCAAAACACTAGCATCTTAATTTTCACCTTTAGAATGATAATAAAATGTTATTACTTCAATAGTATAAAAGCATAACACATCAAGTCATAGATCAGAATGGAAGTGGACCACTCTGTTATATATGTAACTAGTGACTATTTTAAATGTTATCCTTTTATGTTGTACCCTAAGCTAAATAAAACAACCACTCCTTAAAATAAGACACAATAATAAATTGTTTTCTAAAAACAAACAAATCCAAAATTTAAGCACCTTATAGTAGACAATCATGTAATAAAAAGAAGTAAATGAATGAAGGATGCATTGGCTTCTCCACCTCTTAGGAAGGTGTCCATAGAGTCCAGCTTGCTGTATTGTGGTTTTAATGCTGGAATATTTAGGGAGAAAAACTCCAGGACAGTGCAAGGCAAATTTTCACTATGCACAAAGGGCTTTTACCAAAGGTTTATGAGTCACTAAAAATTTGTATTTAGAAACACCAGAGGGCGCCAGGGCCTGCAGCATGGTTAACACAGGGGTATTCTTAACTTTCAGCTCTCTCTCTCTCTCTCTCTCTCTCTCTCTCTCTCTCTCTCTCTCTCTCTCTCTCTCTCTCTCTCTCTCTCCTCTCTCTCTCTCTCTCTCTCTCTCTCTCTCTCTCTCTCTCTCTCTCTCTCTCTCTCTCTCTCTCTCTCTCTCACACACACACACACACACACACACACACAAAGGAAAGAATACCCAGTTGAAGAAGCCAATCACTTCTAAAGAAAATATATTTGAAATATATTTACGTGTAATAACATTGTATTGTTAAACAAAGAAAACAGATTCAACGGTCATACATTGGTGAAGATAAGATAGAATTTTTGCTATTACTTCTGAATCAAGAATTTAGTGGATAAAAGGAGTAGTTTTAAAACTGTTGACACTAACAATTCATTTAGCACCATGTATTTAGCACCAGAATAAATATTGGTAGTTCACACTTAATAATAGCAACTGTAGTTTCAAAGAAACCTCAAAATTGTAACCATATGGTGATTGTATTTTTTCAGCACCTTTAACCAGTGAATTGTTAAATTTTCTCAATTTTAATCAACATTTTACATTTAGAAGTTGAGCCATGACACAACTTAAAAAAGGCATTTTCATTTAAATGTCTTCACCCACAAATATAACAATGTAAAACCTTCATAAAAACAAAGACAATATTAGCAACCATTAGAAATATAACTTTTTCCCCCCTAAATACTTCAGTAGGATAGTCTTCCATCTATGTTAAGATTCGCATCCTATGATACTGTGAAACCTAAGGGGAAAGACAGCCCAGGGGTTCAGCATTGCTTTGCCTGCAGGAAAATATTCAGCTCAGCCATTTATTTTTGCATTATTTATCAAGCAAGGTATAAACTCAAAACACTTAAAATGGTATAAATAGGCACTTGATTTAGTAGTGTAGACTCCATGGGTTTATTTAGTATAAAAGTATGGGAAATATATTGTTTCAATTAAAATATTCAGAATAGGCTTTATTGTCTGGACTTGTCCTCCTTCGTGGTCTGCTCCGTGCTAGGGCTGCATAGAAACTAGAATTCAGTGCTGGTGACAGTGGAGCCAGTCGAAACTTCTACCAAAGCTTTAACGGGCCACAGCCGTGATGATGCCCAAAGCAAAAACAATAGAACGGATAACCTCAGCTCCTATGTTATTAAAGCAAGCTAATCTATCATTACAAGAATGCTAAGACCACACCTACACAGTTCACATACATTCCTAGAAAGTAGTGCATCAATTTTGTAGCAAAATCGTGGATTTCATTTTAGTTGTTTTTCCCATGTGAAAGCAAAAAAAAATATATAGTGTAGCAAAATGTTACTTTACTACTAAAAAAATAAACAGCACTGGGGGACATCAATGCTATCAGTCATATTATTTTTTAATAAATTTTAATAAATTTTTCATTATTTTAATGAAAAATTTCAAACTAAAAACTTTAATGCTGACTATTTAAAGCTGTAAAACAGTTTACAGCCAGGCCTGTCCTGCCTCTGAGAATTACAGTGCAAGCCCATTCACCTAGCACCCCTGTGAAAATGTATGATGCCACATTGATACAAGCAAACTATCATTTGCATTAGCCCAGGGAGGAACATACTTCACATAGTCGTTTTATACACCAACATTAAAAATTACAGACAGAATGGCGCATATACCCGTTGTACTTTCAGCTTAGGTGTGAAGTTATGAAGAAGCTACTGGTTCTGGTTGCAGTTTTCAAAGAGTTGTTTTGTAAGCCTGCCAACCTTAGTTTCAATTTCGTATTTTTGATGGTTTATTTGAGGGTTTTTTACATTCAAACCTTTGTATTTTAGATGATTTAGGGTCTTTAAAAGACTAGAAAAGCAGAATTTGTTTCAACTTTTCAAGCTTAGATTTTTAAATTAATTAATTCTGAAAACTCCACTGAACTAAACATTTATTACACTATAGCCACTGAATAATATACTCTGATAAACAAAATGAATCACATGGAGTTCATGCCAAAGAGAAGTTCTGGCAGTGATTATATTAATATTCATAAATTTCTGTTAATATGGTGAATTAACTAACATTCATGGGTAAGTCTGTGAACTACATATCAAATATCGTTATTATTCCTTCAATCTGAGAAACTCAATTACCCATGCAAGACAGAAAGAAACCTGGAAATGAGAGCTACAAACTTCCGTTTATATAGTTTTTTACTTCAGTAATATTAAGGATGAAAACATTCTTGGATGAGTCAAGCTGGTATCATCAAAATGAAATTCCTTCCAATGGCCAGGTGACACACACTGAAAATCCAGTATTTGAGAGTTAGAGGCAAGAGGATTGGGAGTCAGGTCATTCTTGATGACATAGTGAGTCTAAGGTCAATCTGGGATATGTGAGACGTCCTCAAGGGAAATAAAATTAAAGAAAGAAAAGAAAATTGGATCAACTCTATATTATATAATACTTCTGTTCTCTATTGTATTTCTGAAATACTTATTTAAATAAGGCCCATATATGTTTCCACAAGGCAGGGTCACTTAATAACAAAACATTTTGTTCCAATTGTCAGTGTTTAAAAGTAATTAGACCATTTGTTTGCCAGCAAGTAGGCCCAGGATCCAGATGGTGGCTTCTTCTCCCATTGAATGGATCTAATTAACTATCTGCCATCTTTCAATGCATCCACCTAAGAAACTGCAGCTGTGTATGGAATTTTAAAAAGTAGCTTTCTTCTCTAAATGTTTGCTCTCTAAAATGACCATGTTTACTTGCTCTGTAAGTCTATACTCATGCTCACGTGTGTGCGCACAAACACACACACATTTGAAATATAATTTGCTCTATGTCTTGGCCCAGATATTGTATTGTCCTCGCTGAAAATGATTTTGTAAATTAAGACATGTATTTCCTAATCTCATGAGAGAAGTTTTTGTAATGATTTACTTGATTTTCATAAACAAAGTTAATGAGGAACTGAAAATTACTCTTCTATAAAAATAAAGTTTCATAATTTGTTCTTTGAAAAACATCCATCGAGGGAGGACTATATTAAGAAAATTGACTACATGTGGTATTGATGGAGGATCTTGACAATGATATTCAAAAGCTCAATATAATAGGTAGATTGACCTCCAATTAATAGCAGAGAAAACAATGAGATGAATGTGCCCTCATCCTACACATTTCTTTATAATACTTCAACTTTTGTTAATGGGTCCCAAGATGTGTTAAACTCTTCTGTAGCCTTCTGCCTGGTCTTTTTGTATCAACATGCTAATTCTGTGATTATTCATACCTCTTACTTCTCTTGGACCTTGTCAGTATTCTGAGGATCTTGTTTTCAGCCTAGCCTATTCTTCTTCAGAAATCTCTGAGAAGTTGTTGATTCTTACATGGTTTGGTGATTTGAATGATAATGGCTCCCATAGATTCATATATTTGAGTACAGGGTTTTGCTTGGTGGACTGTTTGGGAAGGATTAGGAGGTGTGGCCATGTTGGAGAGGGTGTTACCTTATTGGAGGAAGTGTGTCACTGTGGGTTGACTTTGATGTTTCAAAAACCCAGGTCTGGCCCAGTCTCATTCTCCCTGCCTCCTGCCAGCAGATCAGGGTATAAACTCTCTGCTCCTGCTCCAGTGCCATGCCTCCTGCCTGCCTGCCTCCATCTCCCCACCATGATGATCATGGACTAACCCCCTGAAACTGTAAGCAAGACCCCAATTAAATGCTATCTTTTTGTAAGCTTCCTTGGCCGTGGTGTCTATTCACAGCACTATAACTATGAGACCTTCCATATCTCATTTAAATATTGGAGTTTCCTGGGAAACAGATACTTTACATGTGAGACAGAAGCAGTTACTGTCCACTCCACCTGTAAGTGGTTACTATGTCTGTTCCTCAAGATTTATGAAAAATGATTAGCTACAAATAATTTATAACCCAATTACTAGGCTCTGCTGTTTTGTGGACCTCTCTGACAACTTCTCAAAGGCAGGAATCATATGTGATCATCTTTGCATTATCAGAACATAACCAGCAAAGTGAATTAGTCAAAGTAACTACTCAACAGATTGACATATTCAAAAAAAATGAAACTAAGCAAAAGGTGTGTTATGGAAACTTCCATAAATTCAGAATATATTTTGTAGACCCAAATAAAATAAAGTATCTCCAGAACAAATTCTACTCTTGCTTAATTAAATTATTTCCAAATATTACTGAGTTGCAAATTATCCTTTCTTGGGTAGAAATGATCCTGAAAGAGTCCCATAAACCCAAATATATTTTTCATTTTCCTTATTAACTATCACATAGTATTGTCTGTGTGTCACATCACACATCATATGTGTGTGCATACATATATATATGTATACATATGAATACACACATATTACAGCTTGAACATACATTTCATTCCTTAGGGACATAATAACGTAATTTCCCTGGAATGCAGGTTTCGGAATTGGATGAAACAACTATGTCATCGCTACATATACAATATTTTAACTTAAATTTAAGGTCAGAAAAGTAGAATTGATGTTTTGCTTGTATCTAAGACTTAGCACCCTAGACAAAGACCAGACAACTGACCATTAAAATGAGAACAGGATTATAATAAAATATGTATAATATGTTCAAACTTCAATATATATATATGCTTATGAGTCCAAAAACCGATGTATCTCCCAGAGGAAAAAGGATAAGCTTATTTAAACCAGTACAGGTAGTTTGACGTCACTCCTGGAAAGCACAGATTGTCAGTACAGGCTCCCCCATAGCTCGGAGGACACGATGAGCACGGCACTCCTACTTTGTATGGTGCTTCTCCAATCCAGTTACCCCTTGGAGGAAAAAGGAAAAGGTGACATTAGTGATGCTCACTCAACCCGAAACCAGATTACTTTTACGTACGTCCTCACACGCTCTTGACACATGATGGTTGTTTTGAAGAGTATACTTTATAAGGCCCTGAAAGTTACATTCCCATATTTCTTGCTTTTAAAATGCTTTCTCTCTGAGTAAACGAACAGAATCTTAACTGACAGGTAAGTAATAAAGTCCTATTTACAATTTCTGGTGATATTATAAATCATGGACCCCAGGCTCAATTCATCTAGCACATTTGTCTTCTGCTCCAGCAGTACTGTAGGGCACAAGGTCAGGTCACAGTTCTGCAGACATAATGCTCCTCAACTTGTGCTGCCTCCCTCTTAGCGCTGTCTAAACGCACCTAGGATTTTAACTAGCAGTAGGCGTGATTACTTGCACAAGATTTGCACAAGACAGGGTCCACTAACATTCTGTCATAGCTGGGGGAGTTGCTCCTAAGATTCCATGATCCTGTAAGTAACACTAATTGAGCTCATTAGGTCTTCATCAACAGAAAAGATGTGGAAGTAGAAAGCAGAAGGTTTGGAAAAAGAAGGGGAGTCATCAAAATAGGGGGAGATACAAGAGAGGGCACTGGAAGTGATATGATCAAAATACATTACATACATGTATAAAATGTTGCACTGGAACAAATTACATATGATAATGTAAAGTAATCACAAAATAGCAAGTAGTTCATTGGAGTGTCTGAAATGAATAATAAATTTCTATACACAAACTATTTGGTTATGAGAACACAGCCCACAGAATCAACTGACCAGGACTTATGGGAGTTTGCAGAGATCAGAGAGCCTGTAGGGGTCTGACCTAGGTCCTCCGCATATGTTATGGCTGAGCAGCTTGGTGTTCTTGTGGGACTCCTAACGGTGGGAGGAGGGGCCGTCTCTCACTCTTTCACCTGCTTGTGGGACCCTTTTCCTCCTGCTGAGTGGCCTCTCGCAGCCTTGGTATGATGGAATATGCCTGATCTTATTGAAGCATATTATGCTGTGCTTGGCTGATGTTCCTGGGAGGCTTGCTCTCATCAGAGGGGAGAGAGGGAATGGGGAAGGAGGGGAAACTGTGACCAAGATGTAATACATGAGAGAAGAATCAAAACAATATTTGGTTACAAGTACTCGTTTATTTTAATAAAAACTATGAAAAACTTAAGATTATAATCTTCATAAAATAAGGAGCCAACTATTCTCATAGTGAGAGAGTAATGGCTCATAGGTGCAAGTGATTCTCATATCATTTTCCACATAGGAAAATCAAATCAGTTCAGTTTCTAGTCGATGCTCTTTGGTTTTTCATGATGGTGAAAACATACAACTACTTGATTGATCTTTCTTACTGTGATAATATCATGATTACTATAAGTGAAGCAAATTCACTATTAAGAATATCTGAACAAGGCTATGATGGTTCTGGGGTTTTGTTCTTTAAATTACAATAAAGAATGACAATAACTTATTTTCAGTATTAGAATACTAATACAGATAGCAAAATGAAGGAAATTAAATGAAGAAAGAAGTTCGGCTATACAACTCAGGGTTGAGCACAACAGATCCTCGTCTGCATTTAACCTGAATAAGATGCAAAGGTAGCTGTGAAGCACATGTACAGGATATAAAATTAGCAAACTCGTCAGCTAAAATTTAGAATATTTTCAATATATGAAAGTGTACACATTAAAAACTTACCAATTAACTATTCATATCACAAACTGAAATGGAGGTTTAGGACTCCCCACTTACAATTAATGAATTCTACTCTCTGCCTAGAGGACAAGATACATCAAGGGCATCATTCACTTATCAAGAAGCACTCAAAGTCTCTCCTCCTGTCATGTGACTTGTGTGTCCTCATCTGCTCTTGAATCCTACCGCCCTGTAAAAAAAAAATCTTATCTCCCACTATGTATTTATTCTAAGGTATATGAGAACAGTATATGGAATCAGCCTATGTTATATAATTTCATATTTTTCTACTTATTTTTAAAAAATTTAACCTATCAGGCATATATTTTGGGAACAAAAACACAAAACTAAAAGTTTATTATATGGCAATATTGTCGTGTATTACAAACTTTTACAAAAATCATATTTATTATTGAATTGAGGATAATAATATTCAACAGTTAGTCAATTCATGTATCATTTATTCTTTAATTTTTTGTTCAAATCCATTTGTTCACATATTATTTCTTTCTCTCTTCATTTTTTCTTTCTCTCTCCTTTTCCACTGAAAGTATTAGCCTACCGAAAACTTCATACTGAAATTGGAAAAAAATAATATTCACCGCCCAGGCAAGATTTTAAAAACCTTAATCACCTGTGATTTTTATTAAGACTATAATACATTAATGTTTTTATTAAGACTATAATACATTAGATGTATAATACATTAATGTTTTTATTAAAACTATCATACATTAATGTTAATGCAATGCCTCATATTTGGAGTCTATAAATCAATTAACATTATTAGGAAATTCTATTATTTGGTGGAAACAGAAGAGCTGAATGAATTTTTAAAATCTGTCTTTGGTCATTTCATTACAACTTGGTCAATTTATTACAGAGAAAGGGTAAGTGCTTCATAGGCAGATAAAAGGCATAAAAGTAAAAATATCAGAAAAATGCAGGCTTAAATATATTTTGAGAAATAGTTTTTCAAACTCTTCATTACAATAATTCTGAAGGAAAATCACAAATATTCTAACTTTTTAGGATTGGCCCAGGACTTGCACCATATAAATGAGTCACGTGGTTACTTATGACACATTGTCGCCCTCCCTCTGTGTGCTGGAAAAGCTGGAGAAAATCTTCGTTTGAGACTCACTTTAGAAGACACCATGAGTATCATAAATCCCTTGCATACTTGGTACTTATTCCAAATGGGAAGAGAACTCTGTGTAAATATTGGAACACTTTATCATCCTCAGAGTTACAGTTATCAAGAAGACATTTTATTAAATGTTAGCAAATGTTTATTGATCCATATGAGAAATATTCAAATATACAACTGGATTTTGTAATCTTCGACAAATTGGTATTATATTTATGTAGGCTATAGAATGCCGATATTATATAAATTTTAATCTAAAAAATGAGATCAGGAAGGAAAGATTCTTTTCCAATATGTTGCTTTCCTAGTGAAATAGGTCAGCCAACATTCTAGTACGGATAATTCAGAATATTGTGCTGATAACATCTCTAGAGGATGCTTTCGGATGCCGTTGATGCAGGTATCAATGGTTATGAAACACAGTGCGTACACTTAGGATGACAGAGCAATGATGGCAAGAAGAACCTAATGAGTTCAGGTGTCTCAATGTATATTCTTTACCATTTTAACCCATAATCCTTGTCCCTGTGAAAAGAAACCTTTCACCCTGTCATTTTTCAGGTCTGTGGGGATGATGATGAGGCTGGGGATGAAGGGCAGGTGAAGATGAAGAAGTACTGCAGAATACTTTTACTTCTATAGCTACAAAGAACGCCCATCTGACTGCTGATCTCCTTCAGTCAAGGATCCAGGAAATGGAACTCAACTTGGCACTTACTTTGGAGCATAGTTGCAGACCAAGTACACTGCACGTCGCCATACAGATCCCCAGACGTTCATGTTTTGGCACGTGTGAATCGCACATCCTATTCGATTAGAAGTGGCCCAAACCATCTGCAGAAATAAATCAATATATTCCAGTGTTGCTTAAAATGTCAACAGTCACCAACATAAGAAAAACATTTTTAAGATGAGAGTCAAGAAGGAAGACAACATCTGAAAATGACCTGTGTGTAATGAGTGCACATGGGACCAAAGCATCGCATAGGGCAGCGAGGGTTGCAATCCTGGGGGTAAGGAAAGGCATAATCTTTCACTTCGTCATACCATGGCTTGACCAGCTGGAGAATAGAGCGATATCTAGATGTCAAGAGAAAGCAAAAAAGAATTCAGTACAACGGGGAGCTATTTAGAGGACTCCTGTTACACCATAAAAGTGTTACAAAATTTTCCATTATAACAAGCTTATTGCCACTCCTGACAATTACAATCGCTGTCTGCTAAAGCTACTGATTTCTCTGGGAAGAGAAAAGCATGATAATGCCCAATGAGCCTTCATTCATCTAAGTACATGCCAGGCTATTCCAAAAACAGAAAAACACAAATTGTTCAGGAATCATCTAAGTCTTATTTAGTTTATGCAGAAAATTTACTCTATTGGAATTTTATAAATAATTTAGATTTATTAGGCAAATGGAAATAGTTAAAATACTTTAACTCTAATGAAAGTGACCATAAGAATGGAGTTATAGAATGTTGGTCATGATATTCTACAGTAGAAGGAAGTATGTTGTTAGTAAGAACTGTGTCATAGTTAACATATACATATATGCCTGTGTGCATGCTTATATAAATGCAGATTTTTCTATCTTGTCAATTTGCCTATTTACTAATTTCATTGTTTATCTGCTTCCTACCTTCCAGTTCGTACAGATAGATTTTGACCCAAAAATCTCAGCAAATAAGAAGGTCCATGATCCCAAATGCAAGTGGCTGCCCATGCCTCAGCAGATTTTGCAAGATTTTCATCCCAGACCTGTGGAAGTTAAATAGTCCTTTAGTTTTGCTGAATCTGTTATGATAAACAAAAAGACAGGAAAGGTACAATGCCCCTGTTTCCAGGAATTCTTTCAATTCAGGGTTGTGTGACTATTGTAACTAAAAAAAAGCAATTTCAGACAAATTCACCTAAAGTTAATGCAATATGGACATCATTTTGGGGGAGGAATTGGTTAAAAGAAAAGTATTACATCTAACGATTACTTGGGGACATTACAAATTGACCCATGAAAATTGAATACACCAAAATCAACTGATTTAACAAAGTCCTTTTCACAGAAACAAAGAGCCATGCCATCCATATATATTCCTAAATAAATAGGACCCAGATTTACTCAAATTTATTTGCCAAAATCAGCAATGTCAAGTACAGTGCAACTTTCAAAGGTCAGATTGTGCTATACAGTAGTCAGTTTCATGAATTCTCACATTTGATAGCCTTAGAATCTATATTATCAATAAACATAATATGAAAATGTACTGTTTTAATTAGTGTGAACTAAACATAACTATAATAAAATAACTTCAAAGTGTTACATAGGGTGCAATACAAATGTATTACATTATGTTTATTAATCAAATTAAGAAAAATTGGTTATTTGAGAAAAAATTTAGTATAGAGTTACTCATATATAGTTAGTTATTGTTAGTTGAAAAGTGTAGAGCAAAGTTTGCATGACTCTCTGATATCATAAACCGCTAACATTAATCACTGTATGGATTGGCGTTCCCATCTCAGTACATGCATAGAGAGGCCAAACAAGCCAGGCATTGTGGACCTATCAGTAATAAATTACCTCTGTAAAGATACTCAACTTTATATTAAAGTAGGAAGACACAAATATAATTTTTGTATACAAAAGACATCTTCAATAAAATTGACACAGAACTTTAAACTAACAAATTTAATGTAAAACTATTTTAACCTAGTACTTAAAATAAACATTTAAAAGATACTTTGTTTGGCTGATAATGGACTTATCAAACATTTGTTCTTACATCAAAAGTTAGTAAAATATGGATTTCTGAAATATTGGCTTCAGCTTATTGAAATGTAAAACTGTACAATTAATTCACAAAAGGATGATATCTTCAACCAGCTGCACCTCTTGAAAGGTTGTTTATCACAGTTTTATGAGAAAAAAATACATGTACACATTATGTATTAACATGTACCGTGTCTTCAGTTTTAAAAATACTTTATTATAATCAACTAAATATGCTAGTGCAGCATGGCACATATAGCACTGATATGAAACACAGTGATCTTGTTTATCCTTAATTATGCTCCTGAGATCATCAATTGACTGGGGCCTGTCATTCACCATCTGTCTGCCAGTTAAGTCATCCATAAAGCTAGAAGACTGGAGGTGATGTCATCTTCAGATTCATAGTCTCATGATTTGGATATACATGAGTAGCCACAGAATCAGTGCCAGAAAGTGCTATATGGTACTGGCCAGTAATTGGCCAGCACTACTGAGAACGTACACTCTACACAAAACAATTCAAAATATTCAAGAAATGTCTTTCCTTCATTGAGTGTGTGTGTGTGTGGTGTGTGTGTGTGTGTGTGTGTGTGTGTGTGTGAGTAGAGTAAGTGCATGTGTGTTGTACATGTATGTTTATGTGTATGTAGGGGTGGGGCATACATATGTGGGGTCAAAGGTTGACATCAGTTGTCGTCCGTAGTCACCTTTCTACCTATTTGTTTGTTTTTGTTTCTTTAGACAAGTCATCTCCCTGAACCCTAGAGCGTGGCTCCATTTGGCAAGAGGGAATGGCTAGCAAGCCCTAGGAATCCTCTTGTCCCGAATTTCAGAGCTTCAAGCATGTGTCAATGCACCTGACAAATTTTTGAGGGATTTGGGGAATTTAACTAAGGTTAGTCTTCATACTTGCATGCCATCAAACCACCCCAGCTTGTTTTCATCCTCTTCATGTGAGAGAGGGGAGAGAGACATACATAGGGTTGATTTTAGATGCTCTAAATTAGCTTTGAATTAAAATATTTAACATGGGTTATTCTGTTTATTAATAAGTTAAGACACATAGCTTGGGCTAAGCAGAGTATCTTGACTGTAAATCCCATGAAACTGGAAACATTTAGCCTAAGACAAGAAAACAAACTTAGAATTCAAACTGATGTCATCTGACTATCTGGCAGAGTTGTGACCCTGAGAGATAAGAGGAAAATTAAAAGAATGCAGGATCCTCATCAAGTTGGGTGATCTTTTGAGCTTGACCCCCAGAGATACAAAATTGAGACAAGGCATGCTGCTTCATGGGAGAGAGTTGGGAGAAATTTCCTGTCTTATATAAGTCGGCAGAAGAATCAGATAATATTAATGTAACACAACTAAAGAGTGTCCTACCACATGTCCTGTCCTGTTTGGAGATCTTCAGTAAACTAATAAAGATCTTCAGTGTACTCATGGGACACAATGGCACCTGTGACGTGTACTTGTGTCCCAGCCAGTACTTCTGGCCACTAAGAAACAATGACCATTGGAATGTAACTCTAAACTTTACTTGAGATTGTAACTGTAGACTTGTTTAAAAATATTTTTTAATTACAAAGTATAAAGTATGGAAGTGTGCAAAGGGACAAAACTGAAAGTTAAAAAGGATGAAAAATTTCAGGTAATGAGTCTGTGCTTACAGCCTTTTGCTAATGTTTGTAGTAATTAGGAGACCACAGCTTCTCACAGTAGCATATAGTCTTCTATTTTCAATATAATATGTAGATAAGCCATTACTGTCAGATGTGATTTTAAGTTGAAAATGATAAAAATCTGATAAATTCTTAAACCAGTACTGTGAAGTTTGGTTTTGTTTCTCTAACATTTTGTTTCTCTTACTTTCCAGTAAAATGTAAGAGGGTATTAAGTCTGTATTTCATGACTTGTATGAGTTTCTTAAATGTATGGAAAGGGTAATTATTCAAATCAAGTAAAATACTAAAACAAAAAATAAATGTATTAAATTTAGAAATAGAGTTTAACCATTTAATTTTCATGAGGTAGACATTAAATAAAATTCTTTTTCAAAATATTCTACATTCATGAAAAGAGAACCCTTCCTAAAAAAGGAAATTGAAGATAAATTAAGGAAGAAGTAAGAACAATAATTTAGAACACTAGAGTCAACCGTAGAAAAGCTATTGTGCACAGCACAATTGTGTACAAAAACAACATGCTAGAAATAAAAATATCACATTGAAATTTTAGAGATAGAATTATGAATTGGATATGAACATGGACAATAGCATAAAAACAACATGGGCGATAAACATGGAATGTTCGAAGACATTTGTTTTCTTGGATATTTATGTGGGCATGTCTTACATATTTGGACTGTTTTTGACATTTTACACAGAACATGTTTTCTTTTCTTTTTAAAAACTTGGGTGATTTGATCCTTTGTGTTAGATTGGGAGGAAGGTGCTGACTTGCAGAAGCCATAGACAAATTAAGTGATGACAAAATTATTCCTCTGGAGGGCAGCCAAAAACATCAACACGGTTCATGGGCTGTTTTAAAATTGGTGGACTTACTCTTATTAGAAAGGAATGTTTGTGAAATGCCATTGAAGGAAACTGAGATGAACATATAAGAACCATTGTTAAACTATCCAGGAGGCAGCAATGAGCCTTGGTTAGGCTGGGGCAGAACCAGGTGGGAACAGAGGGAAGGATAGGCCCTTAAAGGGGGCATTCAGATTATTTGCTAGATCAATTAAATGATATTCAAAAGATGATACCTACAAGAGCAGAAGGAGGCAGGTAAAAGAAGTGGATTGGGACAGCATGTAGCCTCCCATAGCCTCAAAAACAGCAATACCATACATTGCATGAAGAACTATACAGGGAGAGAAGACTGTAAGGATGGATTACATGAAGATGATAGGAAATAGTGGGCACTGTCTTGTGGGGATTACTTTATTTCTTGAGCAGGGTCTCATTATGTAGTTCAGGACTTTTCTGTCAACATCTCCAGTGAGCTGGAACTACAGGTGTGCACCACCACAAGGAGATTCACAGAGATGCCTTTATCTACAGAAAGATGTACTTATTTAAGGGCTGGGTGCTTGGATATTGTCAGCATTTATGATCTGCAAAGTGTAATATTATTATTTGTATTATGTTAATATGGATGTATTTCTTTTTCTCCTCATGTCCATGGGTGGTAGCAAAGAAAGAATGATTCTCAACAATCTTTAACTCAAAGCTCAAACAAGAAAATTTTCAAATTATACCATCTCATATAAAGAAGCCCTATCCCTCAAAAACATGAATCTTAAAAAGTTTGCTTCTTTTAGTCAGGGAAACACATTTCCAAGTAAAGATCATTCTGTGTTATAGACATTTCCTGTAAGGATCTTCTGTGTTATAGACATTTCCTGGTGATAGTGCCCATGTATTTTCTCAATCAGGAATCAAATGAGCATTGGAATGAATTGTCTGTTAATACTGAAATTATCCCTGGAATAACTCTTTGTTTTAATCTATTAATCCCTTCATAGTTCCTTGACAAAGGTGTGGATATTTGACCCACATACCATAACCTCAACTGGGTCTCAAGTCATGAACTAGGAGCTTTTATTGTTCTGAAAACACCTTTTAGAGTGTTCGCCATAGTAATACTTCCAGAATATTCCTGGGATCTTTAAGAAGGCATATATGGCCCTACTGGACCTACTGAGTCAAATTCCTGGACTAGAGACCTTGGATATTCATACATGCTGTGCCAATGATGGATGGTTTTATTAACCAAGACTGTGTGATGTGACATGTCAGAGAAATACCTTTCCAAAATCTCAAAATCCTAAGGATAAGAAATTAAAAATCGTGGCAGTACCTTTCCATCAAGCCTGATTTTAAAACAGATATTTGATCTTCATTTAACTCAGGATATGAAAATGTGAATCAGCAGAATGTGTCTATGAAATCTGTCAATCGTCCTAAGGATAATGGGC